GAATAAAAGAGAAAAGCAGAGGGAGGGAGGACGCGAAGAGAAGGAGGTGCTACCGAATACCTGTCCTGTCTCCCTCCCCTTAGAACCAAGGCAGTAGCTCAGTGGCACAAGTACCTGCCTGGCATGTGCAAGGTCCTGAGTTTAAAAAAAAAAAAAAAAAAAAAAAAAAAAGAATGGATTCAAAGAGTTCTGTCCCTCTGGCTTCACTATGACTCATCAGGTCCCTGTTTTAGAGTGTGGATGCATGTGTGTGTATGTGTGTGTGTGTGTAGTGTGTGTGTGTGTGTGTAGTGTGTGTTTTGAAAGAAGAGCTTTGGGCAGAAAGTATATATGTGTTTGTAAAAATGTGTTTGAAATGTGTGTGTAGGAAGATTTTTTTCTAAATCCAGGAGAGTGACCGGGTGTGGTGGTGCACACCTGTAATCCCAGAACTCAGGAGGCTGAGGCAGGAAGATTGTTGTGAGTTCAAGGCCAGCCTGAGCTACAAAGTGAGTTCAAGACCAGCCTGAACTGCATAGTGAGAGCTTGTCTCAAAAAGACCAAAAAAAAAAAAAAAAAAAAAGGCAAGAGAAAGTGTGTGTGTGCTTATGTATGTGTGCGTTTGTGGGTGTGTGTGTACATAGTGCAGATGGTGGGCAGAATTACAGGAGCTGCCTACCTCTTGGTGATTCAGACATAGTAGAAGATACAAAGTGTTTGACTCTTTGGGAAGATACCTAAAAGGGGAAACATGCATACCCATGTTTATAGCAGCATGATTTGTAATAGCTAAGCCTCAGAAGCAGCCTGTATATCCATCAACAGATGAATGGCTAAAGACAGCGGAGTACAATGGAGTATACTTTGCCAAAAAGAAAGATAAACTCGAGTCATTTGTAGGAAAATGGATGCACCATGAGAGTACAATGTTAAGTGAAATAAATCAGACGTGCAAGCTTAAATATCACATGGTTTCTCTTACATGAGAAATTCAAAGTATAAATAAAGAGGAAAATAAAAGATAGATAAGAAGAATTAGGGAGATCTTTCTCAGATGAGAATGGGATCAAGAGATGGAGGGTGGGGGAGAAATGGATGGGTGGAAAGGGGAGGAAGAAGGAATTGGGATGTCTTATGTGCATGTACCAACTCCCCACAAGGAATGTAAACGTTATGCACTGCAAACATAAAAAAAGAAAAAAGATGGGAAGTGCTGCGGGAGGTGATTGTTTTCCTTTCCGACCAGCACACAGGTCTTTGAGGAGCCCTTGACTTTCTCCTGCCTTCCTGTCTTGTTAAAAAGGGATTAGAGTCCAATTAAGCTATTTAATCCCAAGGTAGAAATTCACGTTTAAAAACAAGATTTACAGCTTCTTAAAAAAATACATCAGCACAAGTTGGGGTTTGTCCTTTCAAGTTGCCACCTGCACGATTCCAAAGAGTGTTTTCAGCTGAACACCCAACGTGCAGTTCTTCTTAATTACTTTGCCTCATGCCCCTACTCCTGCCTCTCTTAAAGTACCCTTCAACCTAAATAGCCACATTCTCTCAGATGTACTTTAGCTTTTGTACTGCCACAGTGCATCTTGGCGTATTTCTCTTCAGTACGCGACTCAGTGGCCAGGGTTAATAATAAAGATAGCATTAAGAGCTAATGATTACCGGGAGCTTAGAATGTGTCAGGCATCACTGCATTAAGCACTTTTCATATATTACCGCATTAGGCTATCCATACGGAGACACCCAAGGGTGGCTTCCTGAGTGTGTGACTATTGTGGTCACCCAGGGCCATTGCTTGGTTTAATGCCCTGCTGTTGTCACCTTGAAATTCTTAATCATTTTTGAGCAAGGGACTTGCAATTTCATTTGACTTTGGGCCTCAAAATTATATAGTCAGTTCGTAGTTTGTCCTGAGAACACTCAATAACCCACAGCTTCTTTTACTTTCTTTTTGATGCCTAATATATTTCCAGAGGATGGGATAGTGAGTCTCACATCGTGATGACCAAGCCATCTCTGGAAAATGGGTCATCACCTCCTTGAAGTTCTTGAAGGGTAGCAGTCATGTCATGCCATTTAGCATGGGGTAGAATGGTGTCTGTGAAGGGAGGCTATTATTATACATGAGGATGGGATAAAGGGGAAGGGACATAAGAGAGGGCAGTAGGAAGGATGGGTATGCTCACAATATGTTATATTCATGAATGTAAATGCCACAGTGCACCTCAATATTCAGAAAAAATTAATATGCAGTAATACAAATACATACGGGAAAAAGAGAAAAGTAAATATCAGATTTCGGGCAAGTTGTCCAACCCCTCTAGGATTCAGTTTCTTCATCTGAAAAATGGAGATAATAACACCTAACTCAATGAGATCATTTGCATTCAGTTCTAATATGCAATGCATACAACATTAGTTAATATTCATGCATTAAAGTGCTCAGTCAGTACTAAACAACAAGTATTGCTTGTGACATCATGTGGATCCCTTTCTTACCTCGCAGGCCCCCTAACCCCAGGGATCCCTACCTGTCCAGCAGAGCTGGGAGGGAAGTCTGCCTTCTCCAAGGGCTGGGTGAACACAGAGGGGTTGCTGGAGTTGATGAGCACTGGGGTGCTGATCTCCACCATGTGGCGCCCCGAGGGGGAGTGGACCATCCGGTTGAGAGTGTTCAAGGCTGTTGTAATGGAGAACTGCCCCGGTCCCTTCCTCCTGGACCCCGGGACCCTGCGGAGTGTAGGTGTGCTGGTCGTCTTGCCTCTGGGGGACGAGGACGCCAAGGACAGACTTTTTGTGCGGGATGACTGACGCCCTTTGTTCTTCTCTAGGAGGTGTCTTGCAGTGAGGTTTGGCTGACAAGACAAAAGGTCGGATGAGAAATTAATCTTGCTGATCTAATGTGAGTAGCTAAGTCCCAGCCAGGCTGGTCTAGAGCCAGGTCAGTACCACCTCCTTAGTGTTTGGTTCAGATGGCCATTCCTGGGTCAGCACAAGACCGGCTTCCACTTTATGAACATTGCCAGCTACTTTGTTCTGTCAAGGGATTCCCACCACTCTCCTGCAGCTGTTACCCTTTTACTGTGGTCTAAAGAGGTTAAAAATAAAGCACAATATTCTTCCCCAGCCCAGAATGCTCTCCCTTTACCTGGCTCTTGCAGCCACGTCCACCCAGTGGGTGCTCCCCGCTTCCTTCAGTCTCCCAGGGGCCCCACTGGGGAGCTGCTCGCCCTTCTCAGGGCCCAGCAGCTCCCATGCTTCCCCATTGCTGTGTTGTCCATTCCACTTTGTAATTATTTATTTACCTTTCACCTGCTGGTTGGTTTCCTGGCCACCCAGAGGGAGGAAGTTTTATTATTTTATCTTGTACCACAGAAAGGATGCTTAGGGAGTATTTGTGCAATAATGAGTGAATGAAGCTCCTCAAGTTAGCGTATTTGACAAGTGTTTGAGTCAGAATGTACATGCATTCAGGGCCCTGAATCCTTATGCTACGGCTGTCTTTTATCGCTTCCTTTCGATACTTTGGTCTCTCTATCTTTTCTCGTTGTCCTGTACCTCTCAGTCAATGGTGTGCTGGTAAGACAGCTCCGAAAAAGAAAAAAGGATGGAAAAGCCTCAATTTGTATAGTTTACCACCCCCCCAATGGGTTTAATAGTTGAATAGCAGAATCCCTGGAAATGTAACAACTGGTGCTGTCCATCTAGTGCCAGTCAGCTCCAGCACACCACCGTGTTACTACCTGCCTTCTCCTCTATGTCGGCAAATCCCCACCAGAAGTATCTGTTGAATGCCATTCCCGCTGAGGACCCCTGTGGGTTCATTTCCTTTGGAAGTCTGAAATATGTTGCCAAAATAAGTGTTCATATGAATTAACCCTTAAATTTCAGGATAATTATTAAGTTTCCATTATTATAATTGATACCAGTTGTCCTCTGAAACCACAGATCTCATTCTCATTTAGAAATTCAACTCTAGAGGTGAATAGAATTTTCCCATTTAGAAAATTTTACAATGACGGTGTGCAGAGGATTAAGACAATTAACTGACATAGAGAGCTTTAAAGGAGATGTAGTTCTTGCCTTAAGAAGCGTGTTATGTGAGAAACCCTTAAGTAATGGAGTGGGTATCGTGTCCACTTTAAAGATGAGAGCTGAGACCCAGGAGTGGCATAAATGACAGAGCCAACATGGAAACTACAAAACAAGCAAAAACCAGACAGTAGGAGGTGCTCCAGTGCGACAGAGTGATTGAGGGAGTGGCTCTGTTAGACTGGGAGGTCAAAGAAGACCCTCAGAAGATGACACTTAAGCTGAGACAACAAATGACAAGGAGCTGGCCATGTGAACATAGGAGTAGAACAGGTCAGGCAGGATTATCAGCTAGTGGGAAGGAGGCAAAAGCTTGGCCTATTTGAGAAAAGACAGGAAGAAAGGAGTGGAAGAACAGAGTAGGTGAGGAGAAGCAGTAAAAGAGCAGGCCCCACGGACAGGCAGGAGCTCAATCACACAGGGCCTGGCAGGCTTGAATTTTATGTTAAGTGTAACAGGAAGCCTTTGGGAAGATTTGGGTAGAGGAATGACATGATCCGATTTATGATTTTAAAAACTCGTGTTACAATCTGTCAATTTCTTATAGTTAAACACATCCTTAGCATCTGACCAAACAATCCCACTCCTAGGTAATTGCTTGAGGGAAATAAAGCTTATGCTCACTCAAAAAACTGCTATGAAATGTTTATAGCTACTTCTTTTCTTCCTTCCTTCTCCTTTCTTTCTTTTTTCTTTTTTTCTTCCTTTCTTTCTTTCTTTCTTTCTTTTTCTTCAATAGGTAGAACAACTCTGGTACATTCTATTTTTTTGGCACTGGGAATCTAACTCAGGACCTTGTGCTTGCCAGGAAGGCACTTATGCCACTGAGCTATATCCCTGGCTCTTTCTTTCTTAGAACCAGGAATCAAACTTAGAACCTCAGGCTTGCCAGGCAGGCACTGTGCTGCTGAGCTATATCCCTGGCCCAACTCTGGTATATTCGTAGAAAGAAATACCACCCAGCAATACATACACAATGAGTCTCGAAGCATTATGCAAAATGAAAAAAGCTGGCCTCAAAAAACTACATTCTGCCTATTGCTAAGTGAAGTAAGTCAGACAGGGAAGGTGAAGTATCACATGGCTTCTCTAATAGGAGAAACCCAAAATATAAATAATTTAAAGAGCAACACAAAAGACAGATGATGGGAAACATGGAAGTAGAATCTGTGGCAATGGGAGAGGATCTGAGGAAGGAGAGGGGGAGAGTGGGTGGGGGAAGGGGAAGTAAAAATGATCAAGATGCCATATGTGTGTGGACCAATTCCCCAAAATGAATGTAATGATTTGTATTACATATATATACTACTAAGAAATTAAATTAAAAAGCTGCATTCTGTATGATCAATCTATATGACATTCTCAAAAAAGAAACCCATAGGAACAGAAAGTAAATCAGCGGTCATCCAGTGTGGAAGGCAGAGGAGGAACTGGCTACACAGGGGCATCATGGGGGGTTTTGCAGGAGGTGTGTCGGAAAGGTTCTCTCTCTTGAATGTGGTGTGGTTATACAATTGTATGCATTTATAAAAACTGAGAGAGCTGGACACCAAAACAGCAAACATTGTGTAAATAAAATGAAAAGCTCATTCTGGTTGTTACTCAGAAATGCCAGAGCAGAAGCAGAGAAACCACTTAGGAAGTTACTGAAGCTGTCCGGGGAGGGGGTGCTCTGATGGCAGCTTGGGGACTAGGGACAATGCCTTACATGCTCTGATCCCTCCAGTGTTCATCCAGTAAGAGGACAGTGTCCATTCTTTGAACTGAGTGAGTAATCTTCTCTGCCACTTATAGCTTTAATGAAATGAGTTAATTTTTCTGCTTTGACCTAGCTGTTCTGCCCCTGGGTGGGCACCGCCATCAGTTTTTCTATCTGTAGCACTGACAAAAGGCCCCATGAGCTGCTGCATCTGTCTTGTCCACTGCTGGTGTGACTAATAGCTCAGCTGGGAAATAATTGCAGGTCTCTTGGATTTGCACCCCCTCATTTGCAACAATATCCTTGAGGTTCATTGGGCTGAGCAAGGTTCCTGCGATCAAGGCAGGCTCTGTTGGAGAAGCTCTGACAAGAATGGGCACAAGCTTAGCATTTGTTTTGCTACCTTTCACGCAGGTACAATTCAGTAAATCAATGATACACTAACAGGAAAGATTCTGTTTGTGCCACAGAAAAATCCCCACAAGAAGTCTTCCTTCCTTCCAATTGCTTTGCGCGGTGCTGGTAATTCAAAGCTTATTTAAAGAATTCTCAGCAAGTGCTAGTCTTAATGAAATTACTGGAGTCAAAATTTAAGTACTGCTTTAAAAAGCTCAATTTAGATTTCAAGTAATTTTTGAAAAGCAGGTTCCCAGATTAGAGCAACCACTTGATTATCTTATCCCCCTCCTAGCAATTAGGAGAACAAATGAAGCAATGGCTAGTTTGATGATGATTTTGAGGGCACTTGTAATCACTAATTTTAGAGGTAAAGTGGTAGGGAGAGTCTCCAAATGAATAATCATTAAATGTAGAAGTTTTGGGAAAAAAGGGTTTCAGAAATGGATAATAAAACCAGTGGTGCCTTTCCCCCTCAGAGGTATGAAACATCATCTGAAGATAATGCGGGAGGCCATGCACAAATTTCACATCTCCTACGTGTCCAATTAGGTACTGATTGCTGCTGATCTCTGGCCTTGGAGAATTAACTACTGTCTCCCAATTAGCGCCATTGTTCCCGCTCAGTAAATGTTGCTTGACCCAGCAAATGGCTCCATTACAACTCAGACGCACACATCAGAGTGTGGGGCTGCCCTTGATCGCTTCCCTCCTGCCCTCCACTTTGGCAGTTCCCCAATCCTAAGGGTTCTACCCACTAAGAGGTCCTTGACTCTGTCCACTTGTTTCAAATCTCGTCTCGGAACCGAGCCATACCCCACCCTCCTAACTGGTCTTTCTGGTTTTCTTTCTCCCCCATTTTCAAGTTACTCTTCCCTCTGCAGCCAGAGCAGCCATTCAGAAACCCAAATCCGATCACGTCACTGCCTTACTCTTTTAATTTTTCAATTGACCTTTGGGTCAAATCCAAACTTCTTATGACGTGACTGAGACAGTATTCACCAAGCACTCCATGTCTTCCCCTACGCTGCTTGGCTGCTTGTGTGGCTCATTCAGGCCAGTGGGCTAAGAATGGGAGTAGGAAGTGTCACTTTTGTGCTGAGGCATTTAACGACTGATTCACAATCCACTCCTTCACTGCCATGGAAGTTATAAGATGGCCTTGCTTATAAGTCTGGGTTCCTGACTATGTGAGCAGAACCTCTTATTATCCTGTACTAAACATGTCATGTAAGTGAGAAATAAAATTTCCCTTGTTAAGCCACTGAGACCGTGGTGATGTTTATTGTAGCAGCAGAACCTAGACCATCTGACTGCACGGCGTGGCTGACAAAGTCATCTGTGATGTATCTCCAGTTATATCTCTGGCTTCAGTTTTGTTATTCTCTTCATTTCTAAGCTCCGGGTCTGGAATTCTTTGGGTCCTTTGGATGCATTATATTTCCTCGTCATGTGGGACTCTTGCACATGCTGCCTCAATTCCCTAAAATGTTCTTCCCTCCATACTTACCCATCTGACCCTGAACATCTATCACAGCCTGGCATAAGTGGCATTTGCCAACCTGCTACCAAGGGGATTGCATATCATAATCCCCTAATAGTTCCCTCTACTTCACATTTTGAATCATTCATCTCACTTGTAATTATTTGAGTATCTGTAGTTTCTGAGAGTAGGAGCCTGTGTCTGTCTTGTATCTTATGACTTAGCTCAGGACCTGACACAGCAGGCACTCAATGAAAAGGTAGTTGAATGACTGAATGTACATTTAGGATAGGGCCTTACTGAATGGTTTGTTTTCTAAAATTTTTCTGACCATCCTCAAATAACTTTTCATGCATTCACTTATTATTATTTTTTCTTTTTGTGGTGCTAGGAATTGAACCCAGGGCCTTACCCATGTTTGGCCCCCTAATTTTTTTACAGAGTGCCTGTTCTGTGCTAGGATAGCTTGTGAAGTGCAGTGACTACATCTGTCAGGTGTTCACAGAGGAAATAAACAACTGAACACTGCTGAAATTTTGTGGACAGCGTGGGTTTCTAGCTGAGCCTCAGAAAGGAAGTGAAATTGGAACAGATAGAAAGCACCGGGAGGTGTACTGAGAGGGGCAGCACGAAGAGACAAGCACTGGGAACAAGAAAACTTCTAGAGGTGGCAGTAAAAGGACAACCTTTGTGGACTCCCTCCCCACCCTTCCCTCACCTGTTTCATTCCTTCAGCACTCTTCGAGTAGAGCGATGGAGAGAGCCTCGAATGGCAGACCATGCTCTGGGCCTGGCGTTCATTCAGAGATAGCTTTGGCTCTTAGGAACAGAAGAATTGGTCTCATCTCTGCATTTATGCCTCTGCTCTATTTTCACCCTGCCCTCGGCAGGGTGGAGACTACCACTTTTACTTCTTTGACAGCTCTCCAGTTCTCGTTCTGAATGCTTTCTGCATGGTAAGCAGCTACTAAATGCAGCAAAACAATGAAACCTCTCTTTTGAATTTGTGATGATTTGCTTTGAGCTAGGGTGAGGCTCAGAGCACTGAGATTATGTTATTATACAAAGAAACAGGTGGATAGCCTAACAGGTTTTCTTTCTTTCTTTCTTCTTTTTAAAGTAGCTTAAAAGAACCACAGAAGAAATAAATATTTATTTATTTATTTTTTGCTTTTTCTCCGGTACCGGGAACCGAACTCACGACCTTGAGCTTGCCAGGCAGGCGCTTTTGCCGCTGAGCTAAATCCCCAGCCCCCAGAAGAAATAAATATATGCTCACTTCAGAAGATTTAGAAAATACAAGTTGACAGAAGATAATGAAAATCATCTGGCATGTCACTACTATTAATATTTTTGTACACATTCTTCTAGTTGGTTATCTATTTATATACACACATATATTTACAAAGCTAGTTTCACATTTTCATAGTTGTAGAAAACATATATAAAATTTACCATTTTAGTAATGTGTATTACAATGCAGTAAAGTTGAATATATTCACACTGTTATGAAATAGATCCCCAGAACCTTTTCATCTTGTGGATGTGAAACTCTATGCTCATTAAAATTATTTTTAACTTGACAATAAATCATAACCTTTTCTATACTATCAAATACTCTGTGATATTAAATATTATTTTACAACATTTTAAAGGGAATATGTTTTTCTATCGCTATAATTTTAAAAAGCTCAATCTTTATTGTTGTGCATATTATTTTATATTTTCATCATTATACACAAGGCTATGATGAATATTTTGCACATTTGTCCATATATTTTTGCAAACTTTTCTAAATATTTCCTTACCAGAAACTCTCAGAGGTAGAAATGCAAGGAAGTATATATTTTACAGTTTTAGATATGAGTTTATTTGAACCTGGATGTGAGAGAGTTCAGTAATGTACATTCCTAGCAGCAGAATGAAAATGACCTATTTCTCTATACTCTGCCAGAATTTGGTATTATTGTGTGGTATCTTTTCTTTAGAGACTTAGGTAATTCTGCAATAAGACTCATGTCCAGTAGGAATTGCTCTGAGACCTCCCTGGGACACATACATATTTCTGAGCTTGGAGCAGATATAGACTTGTCACTCACGTACCTCTACAAACAAGATAGGGAAGATGCCTACTTTATCTCCTAACTTGCCTTCTGCCCAGTTCTCATCCACTCTGCTGATCACAGTGATGATGTCATCCTGAAAGAGAAAGACCCGAGGTCAGCATTTAATCTCAGTTTTGAGATAGTAAAGGCTTTCTTTCAATGGACATCAGTCTGGGATGCCAAGTGGTTTATGATGTAAAGGACATAGCTCTTGAATGATTTTTACAAGAAATCTTCCTGCTAAAATGAACTTTTTCTGTAAAGGGCAGCATTTAGTTCACAAAGACTACAAAAGGAGAAGAAATAATTTGGAGGCTCAATGGAATTAACAGGAAAAGTTGGTGATATTAGTAATTTTTAACCACCAGCAGAATTTAAGCTTTTCATTTAAATTAATCTGACAAAAAAAAAAGAAATTAATCTGACAGAGAAATCAAGATGGAAGCTGTAGAGAGACACACTTTTAGCTTGCCAGAAAGAATGAATGTCTTGTTCATTCTGAAGATTTTTCAGAGCCTATTCCATTTTAATATATTAAATATAACAGGTTTTTATTCACTTTTTTATTATAAAAGATTATATTTAAATTTGTGGGAACATTTGAACATACAGATAAACAAGAAAAAATTCTACCACAATATAGATACAACCATTTTTAAACAGCTTGGCTAACACATTTTCCCAATTCCTTTATATCAAGGTAAAGTGTACATACATAGAAATATATTGATTTGAAAAATTTTTTCAAAAGCATGCACACTTGACTACAATAGAGTATGTAAGTCTTAGATGCGAGTTTGGAAGAAATTTTACATTTGGCTACAGCCATGAAACTTACATCTAATTTAAGATACAGAGCTCAGTATCCAGAAGGCTCCTTCATACCCTTTCTCAAACCCTAGCAAAAGGTAACCACTATTCTGACTTCTAGTACCAGACATTTATTTTACCTATTTGTGTGCTACATGCAAATGACATCATATGTATGAGGACACAGATTGCTTGCTTTTTAAATTATTTTTTATCTTTTTGAGACAGGGTTTCACCATGTAGTTCTGGCTGGCCTTGAACTTACTTGATAGCCTAAGCTGGCCTTGAACTTGCAGTGATCCTCCTGTCTCGAGCTCCTGACTGCCAGGATTGCAGGCATGTGCCACCAGTCCCAGCCTCAGAGATTGCATACTTAATATCACATCAAGATTACTTTTCTATGTTTATACATGTTCATTAGTATATTCATCCATTAGAGCTCTTTTGGACTCTCTAACCTCTGTCCCATGTTCCTAAGTATTTTAGATTAACACATACGTAAATTTGCTACTGCACTGTACCTTCCTTAGCTTTCTTTGTCCTCATAATTTGTTTTTTTGTTTTGTTTTGTTTTTTTTCTGGTACCGGGAATTGAACTCACAACCTTGTGCTTGCCAGGCAGGCACTGTGCTGCTGAGCTAAATCCCCAGCCCCTGTCCTCATAATTTGTGATCACACAGTGATAGGTTATTATTTTTTTAATGCCTGTCCACCCTATCAGACCATCAACTCTATGTGTGCCAGGCTTGTGTCTATTTTGTTCATCTCTGGTGTTCCCAGCACCAAACATAATGTGTCCATTAAATATTGTGTCCAATAAATAAACATGCATGAGTGAAGATACGAATGCCTGAGTAAATGCACAACTTACTAAGAAAGCACTAGGAAAACAGCAGCTTTGGGAGGAGGATCTTGAGTTCACTATGAACATGTTGAATTTAGAAAGACTGTAAGATTTCTTAGGGAAGGCTCAGCAGTCCATAGCTTTCCAGAATGGACCAAATCCTCTTTCTGGCTCTTTTGAAATATTTTTCCATGTATGCATCTATTTCTCCCCTTAAGCCACCAGCTCCTTCAAGGTGGGGACACTAATTCATCATGTTGTCCCAGTGGCCAACTTGGCACATAGATGGGCTCAAGGAATGAATGGGGAATAAGTGTCACTGTTTACAAATTCCTGAAGAGGGTCAGGAAGCAGATCCTACTTCCTTCTCATGTCTTCCTCCAGCTCCGTCAGCACTCCATGGCTCATGCCCAGCACAAAGTAAAGACTTAGTAAATATTTGTGGAATTGAACAGTTCATCCTGTAACCATAGTATAAGTGCAACTTCGCAGTTCAGGCTACTGAATGACCTGAGTCTCCTTTTGCAATGCCAGGAAAATAATAAAGATCATTTACTTTGAAATATGGAAGGCAGTGTGCTCTTCTGGTTTGAGGGGCTCTGAAGTAAGTCTCATTTCTAGTATTAGTAGAATACAAATATGTTATAAAACAGAAAACCTTTCTTGAGCTATTGTAGCAGTGCTACTTCTTGTACTTATATCGATCTATTTGTCATAAGTAGCAAACAATGAAAATAACTCCAATATTGATTCCTGTGACAGTATTTGAATGTCTATGAAATAACACATACTGAACCCAGAGAGTTAAAGTAGTCTAGATTTAGTAGAACTGTTATTACTTGGTAAATGGTGAAGAATCATCCAATGAAAAAGAGAAGCAAAAAAACCTTAAGATAATTAATGTGCTTGGAAAATATATATTGTAGGAGGTTATTTATGTATAAAGGTATGATTATGTTATGTTTGGGGTGTTTTGAATACTATGTTTACAACAAAATAGAAGGTTGTGCGTGAGTAGAATGAGGAGACCATAACTTAGGGCGCAAGAATGCCCTTAGAATTACATGATTAAGAGGTAGGGGTGTTGGTTTGCTTAGCATGATATCAAACTGTGTTTGTAATCGTGGTCCACATATTTGTTTGTCTCACTATTCTACCAGGAGAACAGGAAATGTGACTTCTTCATGCCCTGTCCTCGGTGCCTGTGAAGAATAAGTGCTCAAAAATACTTATTTTTGAAGTTGCAATGGAAAAAGCTTAAAGATTTATCCTAAATACTTAACTAGATTGCTCTAGAGATTTCACTTCTATGTAGCTTGAATTATATGCACATATAAAATACACATGTGCACATACATATACACACATAAACAGGTATGTGTAAAATATATACACTTTTGTCCCTCTTGTGGTCATCCAGAGTCTTACCTTGAGGAAGGTCAGACAATCCTTGTCACTTTTGTCCTTGTCTCGTAGGTCGAAGTTGTAGAGGGCCCTGCAGAGTGGGGGCGGCTGGGGCAGCTGCTTGATGACTTCCACAGAGCTGGCTGGGAAGATCCCACCAACTCCATTGATCTCTCCCTGGTACCAGTTCTCATCCAGCTGTCTCCGGAGCAGGATGACATCTCCCTTATTAAACCTCAGGTCACCAGGGTTCTGACCTCTGTAGTTGCATAAGGCCTTTGCTCGAGGTACCTGCAGTGGCACAGACCAGTAAAATATGTTCTTAGCTTAGAAGCTGGGGGAACAGAAAATATAATTTTCATAACTAATTGCAAAGCACAGCCTATGGGCTAATTGTACTTGTGTATCATATTATTTAGTCTATGTAGTCCTTTGAGATAGACACTCATTATCCCTGTTTATCAGATAGGGTGACTGAGAGTGGTTTAGTAATTTGCATAAAGTGACACTGCTGAAAAATAGCAGACGTAGAATCTTAACTTAGGCTACATGATTCTAGAGCCAGGTGCAAAGTTTTGGGCTTGATCTACAACTACGTGAACTTGAGAGACTCATTCTGTGTCAGCAATGCTGAGCCTGTACTGATTTTGAATTCTTGCCTCTTTGGTCTCACCTCTTTCCAGTTGTGTGAGTATAGTTAATCTTTCTTAAACTGAATTCATTTATAAAATGAGATATTGATAGAATCCCTCCCTCATTATGATTGTTTTGAGCAATAAAAATATGTATAATACATCTAACATCTTGCCTACCACATAATATGTGCTCAATAAATGGCATTCTTTTTTCCTTAATTATGTTTATTGGCACAATTTATATATATATAAAATGATCATATTCATCACAGAGAATTTGTACCTGTGCATGGTATACCTTGATTCCTCTTTTTTCCCCATCCTCCTTCCCTCTCTTCAACCCTTCTTCCCCTCCTTACTTACAAAGCTTTGTTTCCATTTTATCCTTCTTTTCTCGTTTCTTCTTTTCTCTTCCTTCCTTCCTTTCTCCCCTCCCCCTAGCTCCCCTTCTCTTTTGAACATTTTCTTCCCATTTCTTAGTATCTGTTGTAGATTTTGGTCCTTATTGACACTTTTGGTTTCTCATACCAGAGAGACAATGAGTATTTAAACATGTGGGTCTGATTTATTTCACTTAAGAGTATAGTCTCAAGGTGCATCCATTTAGCTAGAAATGTCTCAAGCTTATCCTTTTTTATGGCTGAGTAGTACACCATTGCATAAAAGAAAATCACATCCTTTTTATCCATTCATTGGTTGATAGGCAATTGGGCTGTTTCCAAAATTTAGCTATTACAAACTGTGCTACTATAAACACAGCTGTGCATATATTGATGTGGTATGATGCTTTTAATTCTTTTGGGAAGATACCAAGTAGGGGAATAGTTAGGTCAAGTTGGACCTCTAGTCCTAGTTTTTTGAGAAATCTCTACACTGATTTCCACAGTGGTTGCACCAGGCTACACTCCCACCAACAGTGGAGAAGGGTTCCTTTTTCCTCTTGCCCCACCAACATTTGTTACTGGTTGACTTCTTGATAACAGCCATTCTCTCTGGGGTGAGGTGAATCTCAGCATTGTTTTAATTTGCATCTCTCAAGTGACCAGTGATGCTGAAATTTTTTTTCATATATTTATTTGTTATTTCTACTTCTTTATGTAAGAAAAATGTATTCATTTCAGATGCCCATTTTTTGGATGGGGTCTTTAAATTTAGGGGATCTCATTTTTGTTCAATTCTTTATATGTTCTAGCTGTTAGCCCTTTGTCTGAGGAACAACTGACTAAAATTTTTTTTCCACTCTATAGGTTGTCTTTTCCCTTTGTAGGTGATTTCTTTTGCTGTGCATTCTTATAATTATTTTTAATGGAAAGCTAATGATACCATTTCTACCTGCTCCTCAGTGGTGTTAGAAGGAAAGTTGAGAAAACCCCTTGAAAATAGAAAGTGCTGCTGTACACAAGAACGATAAAATGTAGTTTGTTTTCAACCTTCTTTAGAAAGTGTGAGTTCCACGAGTATATGAATCATTAGGGAGCGCAAACAAGACAAAGACATAATTAGAAGGAAATCAATCATCAGTTTTAAAAAAGTCACCTCATGAATCCTCAATTGTCCAATTGTTGTCTTTCTAAATAATTAATTTACTCAAATGCATTTTTTTCTGATTGAAACCAGTTTACCCACACAGAAATGGCTTTGTGCTGGTCTTGCTTGAAGTCAGCTTGGCAAATTAAAAGTTCTAACAACTTAGGTTTATTTGAAATCGTACTTTATTTTGTGATTTTCTGAAATAGTAGTCGCCTCTCATTGTGTAGTCCTGCTGTTCATAGTGAAATTCAGGGAAGCATTAATATAGGCCTTTTTTTTTTTGTCTTTTTTGAGATAGGGTTTCACTATGTAGTCCAGTTTGGTGTTGAACTCACTTTGTAGCCCAGGCTGGCCTCAAACTTGCAGTGATCCTCCTGCCTCAACCTTCCAAGTGCTCAGATACAGGCATGCACTACCACACCTGGCTTATAATTCAAGTCTTTAAGCATCTTCCAACTCTTCAAAGTTCACTTGAAGAGGGAATTCTTAGCAGCTCAGAATAGCAACAAGATCTCCCATGATTTTGCTAATAGCATGAAGTTGTGGGTACAGTAAAGAGAGCTCAGGTGCTAGAAAATCACAGGAACACGGCTCACCCTGGGAAACTGGTGGACAAGTGAACAAGACATATGTCCTAGGAGGGTTATTGTTATTGTTTGTGTGTGTGTGTTTTTGAGACAGGGTTTCACTATGCAGTTCAGGCTGGCTTTGAACTCACTTTGTAGCCCAGGCTGGCCTTGAACTTGCAGCAATCCTCCTGCCTCAGCCTCTCAAGAGCTGTCCTAAGAGGTTTAACTCAGTGTGATGGATATGTGAATAAAATATAGTACACGTACACAATGAAAAATTCTGCAGTTATTAAAGTTACTAAGGTTGATGCATAACCAATAATATTAACTATTACTCATAATATAATGTTAAGTATAATAATAGAAGTTATAAACCATCATGTAGACTAGAGGTTATGGAAAATGAAAAAAAATACATGTATTAGGGAAAATGCTAGATGTCTGTACCTGAGCACATTGAATGATTATTTCTAAGTAGTAAGATTTTTGAATATTAAAAAAAATCTTCAGTAGGGGCTGGGGATTTAGCTCAGCGGCAAAGCGCCTGCCTGGCAAGTGCAAGGTCGTGAGTTCGGTTCCCAGTACCGGAGAAAAAACCAAAAAAAAAAAAAAAAAAAAATCCTCAGTGTTTAACTTTGTTTCTAACTTTCCTTCAATGAAGCAATTGCATTGTCTATGCAAATTAGATAACTGGTAAAAAGAAGATGCATGAAGCTGGGGGCGGGATGAGGAGTGCAAGGCCCGGGAAGAATTCAGGAAGAAGATAAACCAAACTGAGCAAGAGAAGTGAACTATGAAACTATTTTTTTGAGGAAGATGTTCTTTACCTGAGAAATAAGCAGATAGAAGTAGAGTAAGAGTAGAGGATATCTGGGCAATGACCCAAACCTGTTAGACTCCCAAAGTGGGATACATGAGGAAACAATAGTGGTCCTTCCACGTTCCTTCTTCCCAGTTTTCCGCTGTAATACAGACTGCATTTTTCTGGGTATATGACTGCCTGGAATACTGGTCACATTTTCCAGTCTTCCTGGCAGCTAAGTTCTGGCTGATGGAGTGTAAGGAACTCTTAGGAAAGGTCCTTACCCAGAGACTGATTTTCTCTTTCCTCCCTCTGTCCTGCTGTGTGGAATGGATTTATGGTGCCTAGAGCTCCGACTGCTATCTGGAAGAAAGAGGACCATGGCCACTCCTAGACAGGAAAGAAAAGGCCCAGCTTGCCTAGCTGCCATACCCATCCTGGACCACTTCGCCTCCTGACCGTTGTCTGAAAGCCAATGTAATCTTCCATCTTGCTTAATGCATTAGTCTTTTAGATTTATAAAGTGGAAAGAAAAGAAGAATGAAAAGATACAGAAAAAAGTATCCAAGTCACTTTTGCTTTGCTAATGATAATATCATCAGTACTAGTATCCGTTGTTTCTTCCTATGTGCCAGATATTGTGCTAAGAAATGGTAGTGGACTGTACAGTGTACTTTGTTTAATTATCACAGTAACATTTGAAAGGTGTATTCTATCTAATTTCAAAGATTAGAGAACTGGAGGCCAGAAAACGCAAAAATTCCTCACACTTACAAAGCTAGAAGGTGGTGGTTTTAAGATTTGAACTCAGAACTATCTTTGGCACCAAGCTCTTAACCACTAAGCCAGTGTTTCTCAAAATGAAGCTTATAGTTTATGTGTATCAGAATCCCAGAGACGTTAAAAATGCAGATCCAAGATTCCATTCTTGGACAGTGTAATCAGAATCTCTTGGAATGGGATTTAGGTGCAGGGGTGAGGGGGTAAAGGGATGAAGTGAGAGTGGAGGTCTCCCAGTCAGATCACTAATGAAGTCTTTTTTGCTGTGTGTTATTCAGAAAGGCAGATAATTCGAATGTGAGCTTAGATTATCTGTGCCTTTGGGTTGCTTAAGCTCCTCCACTATCCAAGTGTGGTGCTTCTGGATCGAGGTATATCTTACTGGAACTCAAATTTTGGTGATAGAGTTTTGGTGTAAGCTTTGTAACTGCTAACCTGCTTTCTTCTGTTCATTTCTGGATGATATTTCCAGTGTAAGTGGACTATGTAGTTTAATGAGCATTGAGAGTATATATTAGGTCAAAACTGTATAATGCTTAAAAGATGCCTAAACTTTGAAATCATGAGATGGCACTGATTGCCCGACTGTCTCCATCTTCATTACCGTTTTCCCCTATTTCCTCTCCACATAGCTAAGTACGGTACTGCAGAAGTGACATACACATTCTATTTTTAATATAGAGACCCTCTTTATCGTCTTTCCCTTCATTTCGGTTAATCCCTGTCCCGGTATTCTCACTTTTTTATTCATACTTGTAGAAAATATTGACTTCCATGTGCAAACAAGAGCAGAGAGGGATGGAGTAGGGAGAGGGAGAAGGAGAAGGAGGGAGAAGGTGAGAGAGGATGCCTGAAACTGCGAATGAAGAAAGAAAAGGGCACTAACACTTACTGGGGCTCTCCCAGGCTATGGACATTTCTCTTACATTTCTGTACTACTGAGCTTTTCATCTGTTACTCATGGGATCTCAAAAT